AAGTGAAATGTCTTTATCACTTTGAAATAATGCCCTAGGATTATTTTGAAAGTGACATATAGTTGACTCTCTAGAATTGAGAGTAATTCTAGAATCATTAGGGGGTTTTTTTGTGCCTTTAATTTTATCGAATAGGACAATAGCTTTTTATTTCCCACAGGCCAAGGCAATGGAGTATGTTTGGGTCATCTGCAAAAAGTAGTCCAAAGGGAAATAACAAAGGAGGAAAATACTCTTCAGTAAACAAGCCCTGCAACCCAAAAGTGGAGTAAGAATTTCCTGTCCCAGTCTTAGGAGGTGGTCAATAGCTCTGCATATTTCTCCACTGAATTAGATTTCATAACTTCCTGTGATGTAATTTGCTGTTTTCCCCCTGGCTTGAATTAGGACTTCCCTTCCAGAGTTCTGCCAAGCCAGTTTTCTTTAGACCACTTCAGAATCTAGAATATCTACTACAGGTTCATGAAAAGAGCACTGAATAAGAAGTCAGGATAAGTGAATTTCTAAGGCCAACTTTCCTTCTTACAATTTGACTTCAGAAACCAGTGCTCATACCAAGCTCACATTTCCTAAACAATTCACATTCTTGAAAGGTAGAAAGAACTGACTTACAAAGTGTTAAGCTTCCTGTCATTGAAAGTATGCCAAAAGACACTTGAAAACCAGTTAAGACGCTTGTGAATTTTTATATATAATAAGATTAGACTTGATGTCCAAAAAAAAAAGTCTCTCTGAATCTTGAAACTGAATGATTTTGTGCTTTAGTTCTATGAAAACCAAAGAAGCAGGGAAGGAATGAGAAAGGGACCTAGCATGTTTATTCAATCTTGTATGGATTTCAGCCTTGGTCTCTGGAGTTGCTTCAAGCTTCCTAAAGTGGTACTTGTGCCTGTCCATTCTGACTCCATCCTTAGATACCCACTTTCTGATCCAAAAAAAGCATGTCCATAAGAGTATCTCTAAGTCTGAGCAGGTAAATGTATACCCATAGCTGGAGGGGTGGCAAATCAATGCAAATGTAGATTTCTTTACATTCATATTCTTCTTTTTAAAAATCTATGTGAATTTTAAGTTGTGTCTCATAATACCTCTGTTCTAAAGTAAGATAATATTTTAAATCATCAATTATTGGGGGTGACGAACTTGCCCCAGTTCATCTAAGCAGATGTTCCTTCCTATGCACAGGGCAAATGCATTTAGTTTAACAAGCTCAGGGCAACACATTTGACTGGCGCACTGGATTCAGGTTTATTATCCATGGTCTTCTCACATCTTTGAGGTTTGTCTCTGCAAGACCCACCCCTTCCAACACACCAGGCCCTCATCCAGTATGGAAGGAGGAATCTAACAATAGAAGTTCTTGATGTTGTTTAAATAGCCCCCTTTCAGCTCATTCAAGCTTCCCTTCTCACTGGACTCTGAACTGTTTACAATGACACATTATAGTAGAATTATTTCAGAGACCTGTTTTAACTTACTCTGGGTGTGCCTCATTGAGCTAATAAAATCCTCAACCCTGAGAAAAGCTGTATTATGTGCTACATTTTGCTAGAATTCATGATCTGTCTTTGGAGAAGAATTGTGCATCTTACATAATTTGTCAAGGACAATTTCAAAATGCATAACATCATCAATCTCACTGACAACATCTCTAATGGCTTCACTCGGTAGTCAGAGTTTTGCCAAATGCAAGCTAAGACTCAGACCATCATACACCTGCTCCCAGACTATTGTTTCAGATGTATCATCTGTTGAAAAGACAACAGAGTAGGAAAAGAATTCATCCTTGAAGCATTTCCTTTCTGATTAAGTCAACAGATGTTGTTTGAAGTCTATACCTGGGGAATTTATTACTCCAGTTTTAAAAAGTAACAGAAATTCACAGATAATGCTTTCATAATTGTGGTTTTTTGATCAAGATTGCCAGCCTAGTAATGGCTGATAATAGTCAAGAATTTGTGATAGTTGTCATTTTCAAAAACATTGGAATGACATTTTCTAAAAGGGCTTTCATTTGAATTATCATCTGGGCTTTATTGCCCCTGGGCTGGGCTCTCCCTCTCTTGGTGTGAGGCTAGTCAGAGCTGGCCTTGTTCAAATGGGCTTGAGGGGTTGGGGAAGGTGGCAGAAAGTAGCTCTCAGGACCTTAAGTAGCTCTCAGGTTGGATGAAGGCAGAGAGAACAGTAAAGTCAGAGGTCAAAGTCAGAAATGCATAGCTAAACCAGTCACCAGGGCAAAAAACAACCTGACGCCGGCAACAGTTAACTGGAGCAGCTGTGAGTCAAAGAGCCACTGAAAATGAGAACATGCTACCTCTGCAAGGAAGAAATGAGCAAGATGGTATTCTTGGGAAACAGCCAAGAAGATGAGCTCTTGCTGTCTGCTGACGTGTGAGAAGCCATGACAAAAGTGATGCCCAGTGACCCGTGTAGACATCAGTTTCTTCATGTGTTTCCTGGTCTCCTTGCCTAAGATGGGAAAAGATCATATTCAATCTTGGATGTGAAATCTAATGTATTATCATCATTGTAATTGTTAAAATTTGTTTTACAATGAAGAAATAGAAGGAAAGATAACCTAAGAAAAATAAAAAAAAAAACAACAAAACTTAATAAGCATATTTTCCTTTTGTGGCAGAACAAAATGAGGCAAAATGTTTTGGTGTGCTGTTTTCTTTAAATTTAGTCTATTCTTGTTAGTTTCTAACCAAAGTACTTAGCGTTCATGATTGCTAACATTTGTGATAGTTATAAATTATGAACAAATTATCAATTGATTGTTACCATGACAGTTCTGGTAAATTCACAGTTCAAAATTTATATACAAGTAAAAAAAAAAACCCAACATGAAATAATTAGATTTTTTTTTTTTTAAACACCAGGTCTCAAATTACGCACCTACTTTGACAGTTTTAGTGTCTTGATTGAATATTTTATGATGATAATACTTAAGATTAAAATGTAAAAGCTAATTTATAGTGACATCTCTTTATGTAAAAGGTTCCCAAGCTGATTTATTACCCTGTTGAAGCATGTCAGTGAATACAAACATTTCTAAGGTAAAGAGACTTTTCAATTTTCTTTCACACTCTTAAACAGCTTCAGCTAAACAATTTATATGAAAAACAGGGTCTTTTAATTTTATAATATGCCACTTTATTTTCCTATGATATCTCCTTTAGTTTTATTCTTCAATTTAATACCTGCTATGTTCTGTGCTGAGTAATAAATTTGGAATGCTATTTCCAATTGTAATTCATTTTGATACCTGCACATTTGAGGGAATGTAATGTCAAAGATTCATGTAGTTCTTCTCAGACTGGATTCTTTACTTATCACCCTCTATTCAACAAAAAAGTAGGTGATCACTTGCCAAGTTGATGCTGTTTTTTCAGTTTTCTAGCTGCCTCTTGCCATCCTGATTTTTGTCTTCTGTTGAATTTATTACATTGTCATTCTGAAAGGACTTTGGAGAAAGTACACATATATATAAAATTAATCATATTTTTGGTTGAGGAAAAAGGGGTTAAGGGACTACGTCTAATGATTTACTTAAAGTTCTGTAGAACTGCTCACTTATACAATTAATAAAATACACTGTAATTATAATTTATATATTCAAAAGCTCTGGGTAGTGATAGATGAATACAATTGCTACGGCTTAAAGTAATTTTTTTTTTTTTTTGAGACAGTCTCACTCTGTTGCCAGGCTGGAATTCAGTGGTGCAATCTTTGCTCTCTGTAACCTCCACCTCCCAGGTTCAAGCGATTCTCCTGCTTCAGACTCCCAAGTAACTGGGACTACAGGCAAGCACCACCATACCCAGCTAACTTTTGTACTTTCAGTAGAGACAGCATTTCAACATGTTGGCCAGGATGCTCTCTATCTCTTGACCTCATGGTCCACCCACCTCGGCCTCCCAAAGCGCCGGTATTACAGGCATGAGCCACTGCTCCCAGCCTTGCAAGAATTTTTATAAGTGAATGCATTTCAAGGATTATTAAAGGGTAAACAAATTACATGAGTTTTTTTTATATTGGTGGTAGTTTGTGTTACAGGAGCATTAGAGATATTGTAAAGTAAAAAAAGAGAAGATGAAACCAGGAAGATGCTATAAGCAGGAAAGGAAGAGACGGCAAAGGAGGCACAAGCTCAACAAGAAATTGCTTCTGGCTTAGTGCAAGGTCTTCTGGAATAGTGCATGATACAGGTGGTGGCAGCGATGGTAGATCAATGGGAAAGAAACATGTGTTTGGTGACAGCATTTTGGTGGGAGGGAACAGGAGAAAATAGGGAAAAGATTACGGGCAGAGAGAGACCAGATGGCAATCATAATGAGCCAAAACCCAAAAATGTCATGGACTCAAACCTTAGCTCTAGAGACCTAAAGAAATGAAGAAATAACACAAATAGAAAAAATATAATTTATTTTCATAATGTATTTGTATCATATCTTAACAAAAATTATTTGAGGTGAATTATTGAAAAAAGAGCTTTATTATAAGATTAATAAAACACAGTCAAAAGAGGAAGGGCCAGCATATGCCAACCATAAGCGTCAACAGAGTGACTGAGCAGATACCCTAGAACTTTCTCCTAGCCCTGATGAAGAGGGAAACTTTATAAATCATAAAACATTCATCAAATATCATTACCTGAAATTAGGGTACCCACTAAATATTTGTCAGAATAAATTTTCCCCAGTGAGAAACAGCTCCTGTGTGACAATAGAACAAATACAATTTAATAAATCATAACCTCTATTTGTTTCACAGCAAATAGATAAATTCGCATGGCCAATTTTGAAAGCAACCTAAGATAACTCATGGATAACAATGAAAAAAAGAAACATACCTACAAAAGCATGACAAAAAAGTCGTTGTCTAAATGCGTAGTCTTCCTGTAGTCTGACTTGATCCAAGGACATTGATTCATATTGATACGGAGGCAGGAGGCAGAGAAGTGCTAAGTAGAGAAAGGCCGGGTCCCTGATGAGGACTCCCTGGGGCCTGTACCATGGACCTAAGTGAGGACAAGCATTTCTGTTTCCGTTCCCATAAAGTTGCCTTTTGGCCTGCCACCCGCCCCCCCCCGCCCCGATCCTGTGCCCAGAAAAACCTGAGAGACCGTAGCAGGCACAGACACAAATGGCAGATGTCAAGAAGAGCAGAAGAGCACACCCACAGACACCAGCAGACACAGTCAGGCCATCAACGGCGGGACGATGCGGAATTCAGTCAGTGGTGGTCGGAGGAGAGTCCGCCCACTGGGTGGCCCGGCTCCAGGGGAAGACCACCTTCGCAATCCATCCCCCTCCTGGCTCCCCATCCACCTCTCTGAGAGCAACCTCCACCACTCAATAAAACTTTGCACCCATCCCCAAGCCCACATGTGATCCGATTCTTCCGGTACACTAGGACAAGAACTGGGGTTACAGAAATCCCTCTGTCCTTGCGATAACTGAGCTGACACAAGCCACCTGTGGACCTCAAAGCTGAAAGAGCGCACTGTAACACACACCCCCTGGGCTTCCCGAGCTGGAAACGCTCGACTCTAGATGCTGCCATGGGGTCGGAGCCCAACATCGCTCCCCATGACCTGCCCGTCTGCATGCATCCCCTAGGGCTTTGGGCAGAGGGACACTGAGTCGCACTCGCGTCGCACACCCTGCGAGGGAGATAAGGGAAGAGTATATAGGCCACCAGGGACATGGGGGGAATTCAGCAGCCAAAAGCCTCACCCCGCTCCCACACGACCCGCAGTCCTAACAGCTGATCTCACTCCCACTGTGCCCCCCACAACAGCGCCGAGCCTATTTCCATGCAGCCAGTGTCCAGGGCTGAGAACCTGCCCTGCATCATGGGCCTCCCCATTGGGAAAGCAAGCCGATGCACAGTTTTTCGGCATCTTAGGAAGCCTGCAGGGGTGATCCAGTTCCTTGGAAGGGCCTGTGGAGCCTCTTGGCTTTCCTGGTATGTTCCTGTGGTAGTTCTTGGAGCAAAAGTTCATGATGTGAGTCTCCATAGTGCTCTGTCCATCTCAGTGGGAGCTGCAAGCTAGTCTTGCCTCATATCCGCCATCTTAATCCCCCGGAGGAAAACTTCTAAATTGGAATTGCTAAATCAAAGGAGAAGCACATTTTAGGTTTTGCATCTCCTTTTAGGTTTTTTTTTTTCCATTCTAAAGAGGGGACACAAAATTATATTTCCATTGATAACAAATGAAAATGCCTATGTGTCAAACAACGTGGTAAATGTTTTACTTACAATAATCTTCAGAGGAGGAATGTTGTTTACCTCACCTCTATAGTTTTATATTTAAAAGGACATAAAATGTATCGAAATATTAATATGAGGATAAAATGAGACCAAGTCGGAAAAATCATGCAGGAGGGGTTAAACAAATGTAAATTTGCTTTCCTTCTATTGAGAAACATAAATCACAAAGAAGAATAAAGTATTTCCCTGGCAAATCTTTTTTAGTGGCTAGAAATTAAAGAAGCAAATATGAAGTATTTGAATGCTAATATGAAAGCAACAAAGCCAACAGATATTAGGAGCTCTAATGGAATTCCCATCTCTGTCTTTCTGATACAAAGTCTTTAATTCTGATGGGTTTGCTCTTGGCCTCGCTTCTTTGCACAGTATTGTTTGCAATCAGAGTCATTCCGTTTGGCTGATGCCTTAAAGCCCAACCTTTCTTTAGAGATTCTGTTTCTCTAGAAATGTGGATGGAATAAGGATTGCTAAAGCTATGTGTTCTGGGAACACTTAACCACCTATTCCAAGACATCCTTCAGTGGACCTTCTCTTTAGGATCCACAGTCCAGGACTGCACAAGGAGGGTAACTTGTGTATTTCTTTACTCCAAGTGTGTCGACTTCACAATTTGCAGGACGTTGATGTATAACCTCATACTAGTGGCCTGTCTCTTCCCAGCTCTGAGTGGTCAGTATAGCTCAATAATAGGTTCCAAATAGGAAGGGTGACATTTAGTCATGGCTGAGCTCAGAAAACTTACAACCACATAAATGTCAAAATTTAAAACTCACTGTTTTTACAGCCAGGTTATAAAATAACAAACGCCCTGACAATTATATTAACTCTATACTTCACTTCAATTTTCACACTTAAAACCTGATCCATTACACTATCTGTGAGCCCTGCTGCTTTCCTCACCCTGATCCATTCACAATATGCTCCCTACCCCATTTCCTCCACAACAAAGGTGCTAACCAGAAATGGAGTGAGGCTCAGGTATTTATCCATTCATTTTTCTCCCACAGATATTTTCTAAGGGCCATGCACTATTCAAAGCACTGGAATGAATATGCCTATCTTTCCTTCTTTCTTTTCTTTTCCTTTCTTTTCCTTCCTTCCTTTGTTTCTTCATGTCCTTCCTTCCTTTCATTTTCTTTCTCTTTCTTCAATTATTTCCTTTTCATATTACATAATTACTTTTACTTGGAAATTTTAATATTTTGTCTCCTTTAACTGGGTAAAATATGTCTAATTCCAAAGTAGCCAAGTCAAAATGTCCTAGCACCAAAAACTGCTTCAGCTCATAGAAGATTTTCATATAATGTAATTTAGAAAACAGAAATAATTGCAGATTCACACAAAAAATTTTAAATGATCCTATGGACAAAGGGTTCTGTTCTTTCCATTAGTGCTACCAGTATTGCACATTTACAGAAGTAATTTAGAGACATGTACAAGGAAAATCTGTCAATGGCTTCCAAATTTAGTAAATCTGTATATTTTATAATCACTTGTTTTCGTTTATGATAAATACAATTTACTCTTGATGCACTCTGGTTAAATTAGAGCAGTTAGTTCATGCTTTAATATATTAACACAACACAGCAAAAAGCATGTAAAAATATAAAAGAAAACACAAGAAACACGTGTCTGAGTTCGAAGCCTATTAAGCTTTCCTGTGCACCAGAAATAGAAAAGAAATGCAGAAGTGAGCATAGCTGAGGCCACAGCCATCCTGGGCTCTTGTCCTAAAGTAGGCAGTAACAGCTGAGAATCAGGGAAGGAGAATTGAAGGTGTGCCATGGAAATTAGCATACTGGAGACAGGTTGAAAACAGAGGCTAGATTGGGCTCCTTCTGGTGAAAGGAGGTTAAAAGTCTGCAGCCAGCCCTTCCCTGGGGCTATGGCTTTGCAGATAACTTCAGAAACAAGAGGACTAACACACATTGCACTTGAGGAAGGGTGCTAAATGCGCTTGGCCTGGGGCCCGATGTCATATGCTTGCTGAGACCAAGGGCAGGTGTTCTGCAGTGTCATACAGCACTGGGTTTGGAGGTAGGGTTCAGGAATTTGGGAGAAGGAAATGCAAAACTGCTAGACAGAGAAATATGAAGATAAAGAAGGCGGGCAATTTCATTCAAAATGATGCTGCAAAACAACATTTCGAAGTAGGAGAATTCTAATGCTGTGAAAGTAATCCTGCCAAAAAGCAAGAACTGGAACATAATTTTATTCCAGGTGAAATTTTATTGAACTAATCTAGCCAAAACTGAAGAATATATATGCTTTGAATGCTTAAGGGGAAAAATGGAAAAAACTGGAATTTTGTTAAAAAACAAAAATATGGAAAGCAGACAGATATGAAACAAGCCAAGTAAATTAAAAAACAGAATGATTAGCATCTTGGAAATTAAAAATCTATTCATTGAAATAAAAAATTCAAAGATAAGAAAAACTTTGGAACAGAAACAACAAAAGAAAAATAATAAATTGAAAAATATTGCTGAGAGATTCACGCAGAAGACAGCATAGAGAATAAAATATGAAAAACTGCTAAGCAGAGAGATCATACACCCTAGTATGCCTGGGAGAGTTCCAATTTACATCTGTTATCCTGATGTAATTATTAGTGGCACTTCTTTTAACTCCTAAATGCATCTTCTCTGAAAATGGGGAAGAAGAATTAAAGGTGCTCCATGGAAATTAGCAGACTGGAGCCAGGTTTGAAAACAGATACTAGGTGGAGCTCTGGTTTTATAAATATAATATAAATATAATTTATTTTGATAATTTTTATGGTCACCTAAAAATATATAGGATAGTCTGAAGACAAATGGGACTGTCTATTTTTCTTCAAGAAAGGAATGAGTAGAGAGAATCACAAGAAAATAATATTTGGAGAGAAAAGAGCTGTGAGCTTTCCAAAATTGAATAAAAATATGTCCTCAAATTGAAAATGAACTATAAGAAACAAGAAGGATCTACAAAAATATACTCATTCCCATACTTACCAAAGGAAAACTGGAATACATCAAGAATTAGGAGATACTCTTACCAGCTAGAAGGAGAAAAAACAGATTACCAACAAGAAATGGTAATTAAACAATAAGTCAAGTGGGTTTCTCATTAGCAACAATAGATGCCATAAAACAATAGAGAAATAAATTCAGTGTAATGAGGGGGAACTGGAAATTTAGCATATTATATCCAAATAACTTAGCGACACAAACAAGTTCCTGGAAAACAGATTATCAATCTGTAATTTAATCCTATTTAGGTTCTTGGGTTTCTGAATGGGGAAAAAAGCACTAGATAATTTCAGATATTTTCTAAATTATAGTTATAATTAACCTATAATTCACAGCTTTGTATGTTATAAACTTAAAAATATTTTTATTGGAAGTTAAGAAATTAAACATAATTTGTTAATTTCCAATTATGTGGTGGCAAATGCCTGGAGTCCCAGCTACTTGGGAGGCTGAGGCAGGAGAATTGCTTGAACCCAGGAGGCGAAGATTGCAGTGAGCTGAGATGGTGCCACTGCACTACAGCTTGGGCAACAGTGCGAGATTCCATCTCAAAAAAAAAAAAAAAAAAAAAAAAAAGATAGTAAGAGGAAGAGAGGGAAGTCAAGGAAGTATAAGTCAGCTAAAACCTCATTTACCATGGCAGGAAGTCAGTAGAGAATGTTTAAAGTAGGTAATCCAAACAATCATGACTAATCAACTTAGAATTTTTAAAATGTAAAATAAAAGTTATCAAGGGTTTAAAATGACAGATTCAGGAAGAGATGAGATGTGGTAACTGATTGTTCCTTTTTATAGCAAGCCCTTTTATGCTGTTTATGCTTTATACAATTTTCCTCCTTATTTTGACAAAACAGTAAATGTTAGAACTATATTTGCATGTATACACACCTATATACACACACATTTTAAAGGAAAGGCTATTAGTAAAATATAATAATAAATAGTATCTCTTTTTATAAACAATGTCTGCCATCTATCTACCTATCTAAGAAATGTATAAAGAAATTTTTACAACAATATTTAGCTCACATTTCCAAGTGGTGGGGTTTCAGGAGAATTTTTACATTGTTTTTACTTTTCTGTATTCCCTAAATAATTATTGTTTTATATCACATTTCTAATAACAGCATCATTATTGTATATTCTGAATGCTGGAAGGGCAAGGGGATATAAATAAACAAAAGTGAAGCAGGGAGGCCATAAAACTATTACAAAAGCCCATGTGAGAAAGCATAGTGGTCTGGACCAGGAAGCTTGCATTTAAAATGGAGAAGTGGCCAGGTTCATGACATAATTTGGTTGGAGAAAAAACAGTACTCTAGGCTTGAATGTTGGTGGTAGGCACAAGAGAAATCAAGACCGTAGTTGCTTACCCTGAGCTATCATGAGCACAGAGGCCATAGAAAGAGAGAATTGAATGTTTTATTTCCAAGTTGAAATTAGCTAAAGACAGGACTGAGAATTTGGTTTTTTATAGCCTAAATTTGAGTATTTGAGACACATACAAGCAATAGTCATGTAGTCATTTGCATACATGCAGTTGTCTATGCAGTCATACTGAACATATATATTTGGCATTTGTCAGCAAATAGAAAGGATATAAAGCTGTGAGAATATATGAGAGCACCTAGAAATGAGGCTTGAGAAAAGGCAGAAGAGGACCTTGGACTAAGCACAGATGGCCTCCAGCAATGACAGATCTGAGACGGAGAGGGATCCCTGGAAACTAAGAAGAGAGAGCAGGGATAATTTGGTAGGTAAAAATGCAGCAGGGTGTGTTTTCAGCGAGGCTGAGGGAGGAGGCTATTTCAAGAAGGAGAGAGCATTGAAGTCCTTGGGGTAAGAGGGAAGGAGCTACAACCCCAAGCAGAATGATTAGCTCTTTATCAGATAAGGGACTCTTTATACATCATAACAAAAGGGAATAAGAAAAAAAGGGGAAAAAGGTTGCAGGTGCAGACATCTTTTGTAGCCTGAGTGGTGAGATGATGGAGTCTGATGGCTTCTATTTTCTGGATGTAGTAGGAGATAAGATCATCTGCTGAGACTAAGGAGAGAAAAAAGGCAAAAAATTATGGCTGATGGAGAGATGACAGCATTAGGTGGAAGCCTTAAGTAATCTTAGGGCCATTAATACTTATTACCTACTTACTTTAGTTATGGGATCAGCAATCTTAATCATATTTTCATATTCAGTAGCCTATGTTCTATTTTATCAATTTCCTGAATAAAGGAATACTAGTATTCAATCAGATATACGTAGACTCATAGAATGTTCGAATGTAAAGGAATCTTAGATGCTGTATGCCCCACTATACAGATGACAAAACTAAGGCTTAATTTAAGGAATTTTCTTAAATAACTAGTTGGTGAAAAAGGTAGAAATAAAACATAAACTTTTAGATTCTCAATCTATTGGTATGAAAGCTCAGATACACACACATTTACACACACACACACGACCCTCTGCATAAAAAATCAAAAAGAGTTATCAGGCTCAACTAATATCAATTAGAAAATTAGTCCTTGTCAATTTCTTTGGGCTAGAATATAAATATATATTGCAATATTGCATGCAGTGAGCTTCTGAAAACCTGTAAAAATTTTAAACACAG